GGAGTAAGGAGTTCCCGCTGCACTGAACGTAAAATGGTTGGATGGAACCTCAAATTGAAAATTATCTAAGCGCCAGCAACGTTGATTGATGACTAGAGTCTGATCAACGATGATTATAGAATCTGATTAGCGAATTGATTGAAATGGGCTCAAAAATAAATTTGAAAGGGGGAATTCCCCCTTCCCTCCCTAGCCGTTCACGCCCAATTTGAAAGGGGGAGCAGAATTTTCAAAGGGGGAAATTCCTCCTTTCCCCCCTTTAAAAGTTACCCTGCCTATAAATCACTGGAACGCTGCCTTCTGTATGAATGAACTATTGGCTATTGCAAGACCTCTGCAAACAGGGCCTCTTTCATTACGGATAGGTATGGTAAGATGCCCCACTTTAATTGCTCCTTGGTTATGAGTTTCATTTGCATAGATACTGCCTTTAATGTTCCATTTTCAATGTTCCTACTCTATCATTTAGGCAGTGGTGGCGGAACATCTTAAATTAAGGGGGCACTGCCAACTTTTGGTCCCATTCTTCCCATGCAATGCAGCCAGGGGCGTCGCCGACGGGGGGTCGGGGGGGGGGGGTCGTGACCCCCCACTCTTGAAAACTGGGGGTGTCGACCCCCACTTTTTGCGATGCTGAGTATGCTTTTTTAGCTTTTATGTCAGTGAAGCAGGCGTCAGCAACACCAACAAATACATCAGATTCAAAATCGCTTCAAGAGCTCCCTAAAGCCAATTAGCCAATTACCTAAAGGTCAATTAGCTGTGGGCGGGGAACACCAGCACAACAATGCTCGGGGTTACATGAGCAGAGTTAATACGCATTACAAACGGACTACAATGGTGAGCGAATAGGAAAATCCGTTCCTGATACGCATTTACCTGCTCATGTAACCCCGGTAAATGTTTTTAAGTAGCCCCCATCCTAGTACCTTTTTATCCCTCAAAGGATGTGGACGGCGCATGACCCCTGAAAACCCTTATCCAAATGTGTTACAAGGCTTGCAAAGTCTGTGTTTTGGGACTGTATTTTGACAAATGTTTTTGCCATTTTTCGCGACGCTTCGCGCCGCCGATTCCTACAGCAGTCAAAAAGAGAGATTGTGACTGTAATATCTCCCCTCCTCCTCAGAGCCTATTTTAAGGGAATTTGACTGGGGGGAGGGGGGGGGTAACCTGGAAAATTGTCTTTAATAATCCATTAACCCTCGCCCGTATTGGTGTTTTTCCAGCTGTGAACGTACAGGGTGTCTCAAAAAAAGTGTCACGGTTTTGAACAGCTCCCGTTACGTAACCATAAGGCCTACATCATTCAAATTTTCTAGATTTAGTGGCAACGTTTTGACATTATATGTGGTAAAATTACAAGTTCCTAGGCAGAATAGTTTTTACACTAGAACAAAAAAAATAAAAAAGCTCAATTTCCATGCTGTAGGAGATGGTACGTCACAGCCTGCCGTCGATCCTGAGGAGTTTGGGCCCCTTTCGCCTGATAATGAATCCAGAAACAAGCTCATCAATACATTTTTGAAACCTTTATAAGTAAGAACACCGTGTACACTGTACAACTGCCGTATGGAGCACAGCAGCAGGCTGAAGCACAGCCACAAACATGGGCAACGATCAATAGTCAACACTGATTGATTTTCAGACGACGCGAGTTTCCATGCCTCGACAGTCGACGGCTTCATCTTTGATGGCAAAATCCTCTACTCGGTTTTGTTCCGAAACACATAAAGAGATATAACTCAAGAAGGGTTGGAGATAGAAGCATCAAATTGTCAGCATTTTATGTGGAATTTGGTGCTTTACATGCCTGCCATATTAAAGTTTTTAAGATTTTTACCTGCAAATCATTTTTAATTATTTTTCATCACTGTCCCTTAGCACCCCAATGTGGGGTGTTAAAGGAAGGGTGCCACCTTTTGGACACAACACAGTTTTTACAAGATTAGCCTCACATGAACCTAAAAACCGGCTTCACTTACCTATGCTCGAGACGGTCAGCATTGAATCCGCACGTGAAGTTATCATTTGCGAGTTTTGCTGCCAGCATTCGGGCAGGCAAAAATCTTCAGCACTATTTCCTCGTCGTGTTAAGGGTATTTTATAAAACATGAAATCAGCAAAGGTATGTATAAAAGTTATACTTTTGAAGCATGTTTTATCATTTTGAAAGGGTATACTTTGTCTTTATGGTATACACTTAAGTTTTAAAATTTTAATTGGGAAGTTTTTCTAGTAAGTTGCATGAAGGGTGAAGGGTTCCATAGATCTCTTAAGCATTGTAAAGGAAAAACCTTTACTCGACTTATTTGTAGGTGGCAAATATGGCCAACAGTTACCTACTTGGTTTTACCTACAACTTAGTTCAAATCATGTTATCTTCTTCCTTTTTATTTGTTCATCTTTTTGTCTCAGTTGCGCCATCAATGCAAATGGCAGAATGATATGTTGCCATGACAACAGGATATGCCAGCCGTCCTAGCTGCCACATCAAACGACCTTGAGTTGTAGTGGTGATATAAACAACGATCTTTTTTTTTTTTGGCCAATGTATTAAATGCAATGTTTCGTTTTTTTTTTGTATATTGTGGACGCGCTAACCACGTCTAAAAATTCAAATAAGTAAAATAGATTCATAGAACAAAAATTTCGGAAGGTGGCACCCTTCCTTTAAGGGACACCTATATTATTCCAAGAAATGGTCATCAAATGCCCACAATGGGGCGTGGAAGGGCACACAATTTATTTAATGAAATGTTTTGCATATTCTGTCACAAAACAAGTCAGGCTCATTCACCACTAATGACCCTTTTAGACAATTACGTGTAATGCAGTTGACGCTTCTGGAAAATGTGCTAATTATAAGGTATACAGAACCAAAAAGTTTTTCATGCAAGTGATTTGGTTCAAAAATGGATTTGAAAATCATGCTACATTTTCACAAAATTGAAACATCTCCAAAACTCTGTGTGTACCACATAAACTAGTGGATGTACAGGGAAAATGAATGCATAGGTGTATTGTCACATGTATTGCACATGTTTCCTGAAAACCTTGTGCAAATCCACCCATTCATTCATCATCCTCTTCCTCTTTTCCGGATACATGCATATTTTGAGGTGGATGTGGGGTGCTAAGGGACAGGGAAGAAAACATAAAAAAATAATATCTAAATATAATTTCATTAAGTTTTCTTTCAGTAGGCATGGAAAACACCAAATTCCACATGAAATGCTGGCAAGTTCATGCTTTTATCTCTAACACATCTTAAGTTATATAACAAAACATCTCAACACTCTTTTACAATGGTGGGTCAATGGAGACTGATGTAGGTAAATGTGATGTCATCATAAAAAGGCTAAAATAAAGAGAGCAACATAATGACAAGTGACTAGCTTCAACATGGGTTTTTATTGATGACAGAAGGGTATTTTTTGGTTCTGTTTACCTTATAATTAGCACATTTTCCAGAAGCGTGAACTGCATTACACGTAATTGTCTAAAAGGGTCATTAGTGGTGAATGAGCCTGACTTGTTTTGTGACAGAATATGCAAAACATTTCATTAAATAAATTGTGTGCCCTTCCACGCCCCAATTGTGGGCATTTGATGACCATTTCTTGGAATAATATAGGTGTCCCTTAACACCCCACATTGGGGTGCTAAGGGACAGTGATGAAAAATAATTAAAAATGATATGCAGGTAAAAATCTTAAAAACTTTAATGTGGCAGGCATGTAAAGCACCAAATTCCACATAAAATGCTGACAATTTGATGCTTCTATCTCCAACCCTTCTTGAGTTATATAACAAAACGCCTCAAAACTGTCCCTTAACACCCCGTTTTACAGTACTCTTAGCAGACGTCACCCGAGCTGCCATATCTACATCTCACATGCGCAACAATTGTCTTTTCACGGTTAAAGGGACACTCCCACCTTAACATTAGTTTTGAGTTGAGATAGCCAAATTGGTGGCCATGGCCTGCAAATACCGGTTTGGGCACTCACAACATCGAAAAATGCTTTAATTCGAAGATATGGAATTTCAAACTTGCAGTTTTCGGATTCTAAGGGGCTAATGCATTGGAATGCCCCCTTAGAATTTGTGACGTCAGCGGAGATCTAACGATTTTTAAATCTTAGACTAAAACCATCGTTAACACGTGGTGGTATGCTCTGCTTTGCGCGCAACGTCTGCCGCACTTTAAGGCTGCCAAATTATTGCTTCCAAATAAAGTCGCTAGTAACAGGGGAGATCCCAAAAAGTAAACAAAAGTAAAAGCCTAATATCTTGAAAACCAGTGAATATTTTTCGGTGAAATTTGGTAGATATTCGTTTTCGCTCTTTCTGAACCAAGGGACATCACTTTCATACCAATTCATTAACTTTTTTTAAGGTGGGAGGGTCCCTTTAAATATATAACAAAAAATAATCTAACCTGACCTAACCTTACCTACAACCTACAACCTAACCTACTAACCTACAACCTAACCTACCAACCTAAAACCTAACCTACCAACCTACCTAACCGGGCGGTGTTTCACGGGCTGCTGCTACCACGCTGCTATCAAATTGCGCGAGCTGACGTCACACTTGTGGTAGTGTTGGAGCAATGGGCCTGTTGATGTCTCCATGGAAACCCAATTTGACAAGTCGTAAAATCGGCGTGCTGCTATCACCGGTGAAACAGGGCCCTGGATATGGCAGCTCGGGTGACGTCTGCTAAGAGAATACCTTTTTTCTTTTATTTGCAAGACATGAGTATCATTTTTGGATTCAGGATGTCAAATAATGTAAAAATATGAAAAGTTTACCAATGAAATCTGCTTAGGACTTTAACTTGACATTTACCAAAGAGTCCGACGAAGGCTATATGAACCAGGACCATCTAAAGATATGAATAAGATATTGATATGAATTGAAAGGATGGTTGGTTGATTGGTTTGGGTTAAGCACCACATCCAGTGGACCAAGGCGCTAACCGGAACTCTCACGCTGTTCCAAGCAGTCAGGTAGTGGCAATGCCACGTGCATTGCCCGGGAATCAGAATCGAACCCGGATGGCCGAATGAATTGAAAGGATATGAACCAGTGCAACACGACGAACCAACCAACAACGACGAACGTCGGACAAGAATCGGACGGACGACGGTGAAAACCAAGGGTGTAAACCAGGGGTAGCCAGTTATAGTTGGTAGCATTAGGACAAATGACGCTCAAAAACTACTACCCCATAGGGTTTGCATGCTAAATCGACCTTTTTCAAGCGAGCCTCACACGTAAGCTAAAAGATGAAGTGCCAATATTATTCAGGGGGAAGGTAGCCTCAAGCTTCCTCTACAACTTTTATATCTAGCGTTTTTCGATGCGGAGGCCATAACATGTCCAAAAAGCATGGGGCGCTGCCCGGAGTACCAAAATACCCTCCATGAGAGCATAAGCTCCTGCGCATGCGCACATTGCCTCAACCCTGTACTAGCGTAAATTAGCGATACTGCTCACGGACTCAATCAGCTAATGAGCGTCCGCAATTACACTAATAGATATCGCTAGCATCACGTAAATCCTGCTTGCAAACACATTTTAAGAATGAAACAGCTGCGCCATTTCTGCCTTCTATTGATTCCTTTCATCTTAGTATCAACTATACGCTTTTCAGCTAACTTTATGCTAAGTTTTAAACTATGGTTAGTATTTTATTTCTGGTAAATATAATTTAAAAATAACTGCTTTATGAACTGGGCTTTACTCGTCAGAATGGAATACTCTATTTTATCCATATTCAAAAAATATGTCACCTACCATGTAACTTATAGTTAAGTGCATGTAACTCATCCAGGCAAAATGGGCACTTTCCGCGTCGTTGGCGTACCCGTTGTTCCCTACCCTGGTGAAAACGCGTATTTGGAAATTCCGACCTCGACGAGCATTTGTAGTAGAAAACCACTACTTTGTTAGGGGAAACTACTGCTTTCTGCTACCACTTGCACTGCATTTGTCGCTATAGCTGCGACGTCTATGCATATACAGATAAACCGCGTATTTGTATTTGTATTTGTATTTGCACTCCACAGCAGCAGTGGCTTTTCTGGCTCCGCGTCACAATGTCACATGTATGGTAGAAAGGATAAAAATATTCACTCATACATACAAATTACAGGTGCAACGGCATGCGTGTCACCAACATGCATGTCACCAGTCACACACATCCACACTCTCATACACGGCGTCAAATCAGGTAATAGAAGACAGCATTCGTCGTTTTAAAGAGCGTTTGAAGCCCTGTCCACTGAGCGAAACCAGTTCGGGTGGCAGCTGGTTGTGCAGCGCCGGCGCTCTAGCACAGAATCGTCTTTTACCCGCCTCGGTCCTCGACCTCGGCACACTGAGCAGACCGTCCTGCCTGGTGGCGCGCTGGCGTACCTCCTCATTACGATGGAGGACGGCTGCTAGTGAGTGGGGCTCTCCTATTGTATTGTATTGTATTGACCATCACCGGCACTCCACAAACACTAGTGGCTTTTCCGCGCCGTAAGTCAAGATATAAAACAGTGTGGTATGGTAGGTAATGGAAATAAACAGAGACATTCACTCGCAACATTCAAAACATACATACATTCTAAACCCTACCCCCGCCCCCCGCGGTGTCCCTATTGCACATTGACTTAATACTACGTTGGAAACGCGCTGGGTCCAGTTCGATGACATTCGTTGGAAGTTTGTTTAAAGGTAGTGTGCCACCTTTGAAAGATTTCCCATTTTATTTTTCCTAGGATAAGAAGCTTCTGTTCATGGTGTGTCAAAAGTGGAAATAGCCGCCCGGCTTTAGTTCGCCAGCCTTGTCAATAGATGGCAGTACCACAATATGGGTAGCGGATCGTGCAATTGACGTCAAATTTTCGTTGTCTGCTAAGAATTGAATGGCGGATCTTTTCATGCAAGAATCAAGTAAATCGGTCCACAACTTTTCTAGCAACAGAGATATGAAGTCAAACACCCTGCTAGAGCGGCGGCCGGCGGCAGCCGTTACGCGCCGCCTGGGAGACTGGCGGCGCTGAACGGTTCCGAATTGGCACTGCACTAAAACTTGTTAACTGCTTGGAATAGTTATTATAGCAAAATTTTCATTCAAGTGAGGAATAACCAAGGGCAGGAAGTATGTGTGCTTGTGTGCGTACTATGTAAGCCAAGAAACTGCATTAGCAGATACTCGCTAATATTAGATCCAGCCAAGTCCAAACGCATTCCAGGTGGTGTTTCTGATGGGTCAACAATATTTATCGTTCGAGGGCGGATACAGTTTTAACAATACAAAAAATATTTTTGCACAGCTCTATTCCTTGAATAATTCTCTTCAACGCCTCATTCCTAGTTAAGCGAATTAGCCCACCCTGGTTGAATAAATAAGGCGATTTCGCCACAAGGTCGGGGAAAACCGACCGAAAACGGCCGCGCTCAACGTTAATTTGGGCATGCAGACTCTTAAAAACTCGCATTGGGCGGGAGGGTTTCCCAGGTATTGGCTCCAAAACACCGTATTCGGCTCCCGAATACGTCCAAGTGACCCGCCTCGTTCCTAGTTAAGCTCTAATTAGATCAAGTGACTCATAGGGAGCGAAAAAGCGACAAAAAGCATGAATTTCCCTATGGCGGCGGGCTGCCGGGTTGCCAGACGGCGCACCGGCTATTTCCACTTTTGACACACCATGTTTTACCTAATATCGCAAAAAAAAAAAATAAAAAATGGGCCTGGAATAGTGCCTTTTCGCCTAAAAGTTTTTCGGTTTTTAGATATGTATAACAACTGTAGTGGGCTCACCTGCAAACAGGCGTCGGGCAACAATCGCGAATGCGGCGCACTTGTGACAATAAGCAAAGGTCATTATAGTGTTACGACCATACGACGTACGGGAATGAGTTATCAGCTGTCTAATCGTAGACAACACAATGTCGAGCCTTAAACTGTAAGCCCGTATTGTATTGTTTCTTTTATTTGGCTGTCGAACATTATTTATGGTTTGAAATATGATTTTATGTAAAATAATTGATATGAAAAAGCCGTCTTATAAGTTATGACCCCATTTCACCACACGCAAGTGGCAGAAATGACAATGATCAGCTGACGCATTTTTCTTGGCCGAAGTCAGAGCGCGCGGCCCGACGCACCACGCGTATTTGGAAATTCCGACCTCGACGAGCATCAGAAGCCACCTAACAGGCGTGTTCGAAACCGCAGGAGATGATGATGAACGGGTTTATCGAAACTTGATTGGATGAGCATATCGGTAATAGCGATTTCAGTGTGTGCATTTATTGTTCATAGTGGTGTGAAATGTGGTTGGGGTACGACCGACAACCCGTCGGGGCGAATTTCGCACTGGGGTACTCAAAATTTGAAGAATTTAAGACGTTTCCATGAGTTTTGAAGGTATGGATAAGTTCTAAAAATCCGGTTCTCCTTATCTGGGCCATTAACTCCATACGGTCCAAGAAAGCTGGCACACTACCTTTAAAAGAGATGTTGCGCGATATAAGAAGGACCGCTGACCGGCTGCTGTACGAGTAAAAGGAGGCCTAAAATGCCGGTCCTGTCGAGTGCTACGGTCGCATCGCTGTTGGCGCGAGTCACCGAAAGTCACAAAAAGAGATGCAATGTCTTCCGGCTCATCGTAAGTAATCGCCTTATGGGCCACAGCCATCGTAGACATCTCGTACATCAGTCGAGGACCGTGCAGTCCTAGGTCCTCTCGCGCGTGAGACACGTGGTCATACTTCCTGAGACCGGTGATCACACTGGTCGCAAAGTTGATCACGCTAAGCAATCGTGCGTCGTTTCTCGCTGTACCACCACCATACACCGAAATACAGTACCTCAAGCGCGAGAGGACGAGACCATCGACAACGGTTCGCAGGACACCCCGCGGGAGGAAATGCCTCAGATGGCGGAGACCGATCAGGAGGCCAATGCACCGACGAACCACGTCACTGACGTGCGCGTCCCAGGTGAGATGACGGTCGAAAAGCACGCCAAGGTTTTTCACAGTCTGGCTCTCCTGGACGGTCTCCCCACCGACCCGTACGCTGACAGGGAGTATGTCTCGTGTGTTCTGCCGGGTACCGAGGAGAAGGATTTCAGTTTTGGATGCGTTGAGCTTTAGTCCATGGGCATGGAACCATGAAGACAGGGCGAACAGTGTGGTTTCCATGCGTTGGATAAGGTGAGGAAGATTACGTTTGGTGTCGGATATAAGGATCTGGGTGTCGTCAGCGTACTGGGTCACATGGGCGTCCGGCGCATGCAGGCTGAGGTCGTTGGCGAAGATGGTGAACAGGAGAGGACCGAGGGCGGATCCCTGGAACACTCCCATGGTATTAGGAAGAGGATCTGAGACCACTCTGTCACCAGAGGGAGATGTGATTGAAACGGATTGGGTGTGACCGGAGAGATAGGAGGCGAACCAAGATGGGTCAATACTGTACTGCTGGAGTTTAGTAAGAAGGAGAGTGTGAGGAACAACATCAAAACATTTGCTGAGGTCTAAAAGACAGAGGAGTGACACGTGACCTAGGTCCATGTTGGAAAAAATGCGGTTTGTTACTGTGAGCAGAGCGGTCTCGATGGAGTGATGGGGGCGGAAACCGTGCTGGGATGAGGATAGTAGATGATTGTCGGACATGTAGGCATACAGCTGTCGCCAGTGGCGTAGCCAGAAATCAGCGAAAGGGGGGGCCATGGTGCTCGAGGGGGCGACTTTTTCTCTTGAGAGGGGCGCCATAGTGAGCTAGTGACAGGGGGTCAGTCTAAAATGTAGCGTCATATATTCATGCATGATTTACTAGGTGTTCCTACGGAACCGGCACGAGTATCAGAACCAGGTTTCGCTGATTTTTCATGAAATCCAATTAATGCAATTTGCAGCTCAGTGTTTTTATCAAAAGCGATAAAAAATCTTTATGCATATTTAGCACGATATAGGAAACGAACTCAGGCTACGGACATGTTATTCTCATAATATGCACACCCATTCGAATTCGAAACATGGTAAAATATGCGTTGATCGATTGGCACAATCTTTATTCTTTGCAAAAAAAAAAAACATACAGGTTCACTCACTGAACCAAAATGACCTGTGGACTGCAGCCTCTCAAATATCTTCATTGAGGGCCA